GTTATTCTGTAGTTCTCACGACTCCAGCTGTTTGACCGTGCTGCTCTGCCATTCAGAGAAAAACTAGATCCCTACACTCTCACTACGAAGTTTATTCGGTTTCACAGTCATCACTGATCCAACCGGGCTTATTTGTGTAATCAGGCTTTGCTTCATGTACTTCTCTGCTTTGAAATCAGTTACATATAAAAGTCATGAAACCCAATTCTGGCCAAATGTAAATATCAACAGACCAGTGTGTCTTTAGAGAACAGTGTGGATCTCTGTTGAGTCCAAACGAAGATATTCGTCTGTTTTACTGCAGACACTCGACACTCAGTCTGACTGAGGGGGCGTGGTCCGGGGGTGAAGTGATGTCAATGCATATCCTCTACAGTAAGGCTGCTGGCAGAGTGAGAAGTACAGATTGAGCAGGTTAGAGCTAATCACTTTTACCAAAACCTTACAGGTATACAAAACCTGCCATATTAGAACACTGCGATACTAAAAGTAATTTTTTTTTTCTATTTTAGTAATCATCTCGTTCATCAGGAACTCTTTCAATAAAAATACCTCTAATTCTCAATTAACAAAGATAATACTTAACGTGTCTTAACGTTAACACTGATAGATAACAGCTCATCTTTCCTTATTCATATCTTTCAAAGTTGCAGCTGAGGCGACGGATAGTTTAGCGGTTATTTTGCATTCCTCACAAACAGAGGCTACAGTCTTTGTCACAGCGGTTGTAGGTTTGAATCCGACCTCAGCTCCTTGTTATGTCATCCCCCGCTCTCTCCTTCCAACCGTTCCTGTCTCTCTTCAGCTATCATCGGAGTCTCTTATTTTATAGGTATCTCCCATTTACTGGAAGTAGACATTTTTTTCTCTGTTTGTTTTCTATATTGTAAAATTGTGTTTGTATTATGGAATGCCTTTTCTTCTCTACTTTATGTAAAAACTCTATGATGGAACATTTATCCTCCTCTTAAAATCATTAAATCTGATGATTCCTGAAGACGTTTATTTTGTCTGTGATTTTTACACAAAAAATGGCCCATTCTCCCAATCTTCATACAATCCATGTTATTGTCTCTTGAGCGGCCTCTATCACTCACAGGTAGAATTTCAACAAGCACAATCTTCAAGGTGTATTACTCATACGGTCTCTGATTTGAGGACACACCTCCTCAAACTGATCTGAAAGAATTGGAGGAAATATGCAAAGTTATGAAAAAAGGAGAAAAAGAGGTAGTAAGGGAGGGATATAAACAAGGTTTTGAGGATGTTAAATAAATGTAACTCATAAACGTATTAAGTATGAGCTTGTTTTAAGCAGCAGAAGAGGCCAGTGAAAGGGGTGAGCGACAAGAAGTTAAGACAGCGAGACAAATGGGAAGAAAAGGAAATCACTGGGACAGGGTTTCTCTGACTGACAACACACAATGGGCTCACATAATTGACAGCAGGAAAATGGTGTGTGGTCCCCCACTATCAACCCCCATTTCCTCACATCGTCAAATGGATCTATTTGGAAATATTCCGTCTTTGATGTAAAGGGCGATCAGAATAACACAAGGAAAAACAAACACCAAACTACTTTTTACATTTCTTATTTGTGCGTTGAACAACTTTTCCATGTTTAACTCTGTAAGAGCAAGGAGCTGTGGTGTCTCAACACAGCACATGCACATCAGTGCAGTGAGGGGTCAAGATCACTTAATATCCCTTTTAAAAACTGCCTTTCTGTACTTCTACTTCCGTTACAGTGATGCTTATACTTTACTATAAAGCAGCCACACAGAGCTAACAAACAGCTAAGCAAACTATTTAAAGATATTCATTGAAGACAAAATCACCTTCAATTCCCCAAGGAAGGCGGGTGCCTGTACTGGGGGGGTCACCAGGGAGCGCTCCTGTATGCCTCCTGCTGTATACTATGACACACTACCCCCACAACAAACTATCACGGATATGGGGGGAAGAAAATTACACTTCGCTCATACAAGGAAGAACAGACTAAGCAGGGAACTTCTTCACTGAGGAGAAACATTTTCAAAATGTTTTCTCTCATTTCTTTTCTCCTTAGTTAGTGTTTGCTCTCTCATACTGTAGAGGCTGCCCCGTACTAAAGGTGCCTGCTTCATTCTGGCCCACAGAGGTCTTTACTCCGCCTCCATCTCCTTCGAACCCGTTGGCCTCGGGACACAGAGCGAAAGTTTTAAGTGGAAACAGTCTTTTTTCACCATAACACTCGTAGCCTTAAAGATCTGCTCACAGCAGCAAACTGCAAGACAGGGATGTCATTTTCAACTGCATCCACATTTTATTTATTAAATTTGTTCGATTGAATACTGTTAATGCACTTTAAAAGCAGTATATAAAAATTTTACTCATGGATGAAATGCCGCCATTGAATTATGTACTGCACATTATGATCCATCTGACCTTCTGAACATAAAAATAATTCAATCAAAACCTTTTTAAAAAGCAGAAGATGTTTTTATATTAATAGTTTGTCACGTTTTGGTGTCTTCTGAGAAAAGCCTATAACTGATTAAAATATGATTATAATAAGCAGCTTCAAGTTTCATGGATTCTGAAGAAATCCCATGTCCGGAATATGTGTCAAATAAAGCAATGAACTAGCGTATTTTACGTTAATGATCTGAGGGGCCTGTGGTTTGAAGAAGTGAAAGTCGTTCATGGCTGTATTCATCACAGCAGTGTCTTTACCACACAGCTGAGCAGAGGAACTATATCATTTTGGTTAAGTGACACTGAACTTTGTACATAATTGGCTGCATAGACCGTGTTCTTCCCATGCGGCTGTATGGCGTTTCCCTTCAGTGGCATCTCTTTCATTAGAGCGGCCCACAGCCCTCACTGCAGCAGCACGTTGGTGCTGTTCACACAACTCTGAATCGTTTTCTGTCCTCGTTGTCCTCTGGTTCTTTAATTATTTCATTTTTTTATTTTGCCCGAAATAAAGTCATTTTGGGAAACAATGTTTGTCTTTTGAATGCTAGTCCGTGCCACTTTACTCTGTAAAAACTGTGAAATGTTGAATTAAATAAAAAAACGGATCAATGTTTAAGGGCTAAAAACAACAAACAACCCCCGGATATTAGACAATGCATTTTCAAACAACCAACAATCTAGTCCCAAATACTGTAGCATATGAAAGTGAATGATGGGTGAAATAATCCAGTAGTGTCCAGGCTGTGTGGTGTTTCCTCAGGGAAAGCTAGGAGGCTGTACAGTTATCTCCTGTGGTGTCACTCTGAACTATACAACCTACTACCTCAACCTGCGAAAACACTGGAGGAAACTGCGGGTTGGCTGCTGTGTACCAAAACCTACCAGGCGTCATACAAACTTTACAGCATAGTGTCAACGCTTTCTATTTGATGAGAAATCAACTTTTCAAATATTTATTTACAAAAAAAATGTATAATTAAAAACGCAGAAGAGAAAGTCTGCTTGATCCTTATATTCATGCATCCTGTTAAAACCTGAATTGAAGTAGATCAGTTCATTGATGTGCAGCGCTGCCCAAGGACATCAGGGCGGTTTTGTGTTGTGTCACATCGTCATACAGTCCAACCCTCCTACTTGGGTGGGTTACTGCATAAAGATGGGACGCAAGGGAGAAGTTTAGAGGACAATATTCTACTCTGACAAGGAGCTTGTTTTTCAGTCATACCAATACAATCAAAAGCTTTGTGTTTAAAACAACTTACAGTATAGACACAATTGTGATAAAGTCTGACATTTCCATTCGTTTTGACTAACGAGTCTGCTTCAAATATTATTACAATGCGGTACTTTTCTTAGTCGTAATGTAGGGCAGGAGCTGTGTTTGCCTGGAAGACACATACCTATAGATACGAGCTTGTGCAGCCAGTCACCACAAGTTCGGATCTACGGGTTTGTGGCAGCTAGCATTACCCCTTTAAGAGCAAAAACAAAAGCAAGGTGAGACTCACAATGTATGAAAACAGAAACCATTCTACTACCTCGACCTGTAAACACCACTCAGTCCCAATCCAAGCCCTCTCAGTGGGCGTTCATGCCCACGTGTCAAAATGAAAAACACAGAATTGGTCAAGAACTACAGTTAAATCTTTGTGTATTTTTAAAATAAAATACTTAATGTATGTTACAAGATTCAAGAAGGAAGTCTGTTTTAACTTTCAATTTTTAAGGTATTGACTAAATTAATCGTTTTCGAAAACGGTCACATTAGATACTGTTCCTATCATGTAATTAAAATGTTTTTGTTTTTTTTATAACAACTTTTCAGGGTGGCTATAAAACACTTTCCTGTTTGTGTATCTTGAGTACTGTGAAGTCAAACCATGGTCCATTGAACAGGCTAAAAGCACATGACTGTGCGAGGGACGTGGTGTTTGTGTAACCTACTGATCACATTCTTCTGAGGTCAACATTTATTTTCAAAATGTCAGACAGTATAATATACTACATGTTCTTTTTTCCCCCAGACATAAACATCCTAAATGAAATCCACTTAACAACACTTTGATTTCTGTAAACACATTTGGTTTACAAATTTGAATTCAGGCTGTATTTTCAATAATTTACCACAAAAAAATTTCCAACACCACAAGGTGAACATTTGTATGATGCAAAAGGATCGAGTAGACTGCGATGTTCCAAAGACACAAAAATCAGACATCTTCAGGTAAATATTGTAAAAAAAAAAAGTCCAGGGGCGTGTGAAATCATATTAAATCACACCTTTACAGAATGCAAAATATGACGGCGGTTTAATAATGAAAAAAGAATTGGTGGTTTATAAACATCCTCAGTGCAACTATTTGATAAAATATGCATTTCAATATAGCCTCTTGACCTTCCTACCCTTCAATAACACCATATCACAAGAACCATGAGCAAAACATCAGGTATGCACCAAATGGTGTGGGTTAGAAACAACACTGAACGACGCTTACAAAAAAATAACTTAAAAGTATTATAAATCGCCAACGTACCAGCAAGGGACACTCCAGATTTGATGGTCAAGACATCCTCTGGAATCAGATGGCGTTAGGTATGAGGAGCAGTGTAGGCCAATACTTCAACATAAAGCAGGACACCTATAAAAAAGACATTTACAAATCATTAGTGGAACAGAACAGAATGTCTAGTACTGACAGACTAGATTCCCGTGCACACACATTCCTTAAACCACACACTTAGAAACACGTGGTGATCCGAGCACACCCTTACAACACATACAAACTTAACACTACTAGCACTACAACAACAATCCAAAAACATTTACAGTGAAACAAAAAAATACAAAAAAAGTACAAGTAGGAAATTAACATCCCCTCGTTCTTTCCCTGTTAGCCCATCTGACCCGTTGTCCGGTTCCCATTTTCCGGGGTACAAAAACCTCAAATCGCCTTTAAAAAAAAAAAAAAAAGGTACGGCAAAAGGTTGAACGCGATGAGATGTGGATGAGGAGGAGTCGCAGCGCAGGGCTTGCTACAGAAAAAGTGGAATTTGTGATCAGGCAAAGGAATGGGTGGTGTTTTCTTTTTTTCTTTTTTTTTTTTTGGTGCTTCATTCTGCCTGGCTTCTTTGGATCCCAGCAGGATCTCTGGCTGCGGCTCTGTCTGTCCGTAGTGCTGCCAAAATTTGTATATGTCCTTTTTGTCTTAAACTCAAATTGAGAGATGAGAACAGATATAATTTTAAAAAAGACGGGGGGATAGCACGGGAAAACTAAACTAGAGTGCAAGTTATGAAAGAAAAGGACCCAGCATGAGTGAAAGTGCATAGCAAAGAGAAGAGAGGCTTAGCAGTTGAATGCAAGGGTAACGAAAATACATTAAAAAAAAAGTCACGATGGAAGAACGTTGTTTTTCTCGTCAGAATGTTTTCTCTACAAACATATTATCCCCCAAATGCGAGCTGCAAAATGTCCCTTCTCCTACAACACAGCAGCCAAAACCTTTCCAAAGCTATGCCACGTAGCGTGAGAGGGAGAGAGAAAGCAGCCACTTTTTCCTCTCTCCAAAATGGCTGAGGGCCGGGGGAAAGCAGCTATGAGCAGAGACGAAGAGTGGTGCTCCCCGTCCTGCTCAGGGGAGGGCTGGGCGATGCAGCGAGCATCTCTCCCCTCGCTTCCCTCGTCTCACTCGTGCCCTTTGTCCCAGTAGCCGTCTTTCAGACCGGACGATTGGCATACAGCTGTGTTGTGAGTCCATTAGAAACTCTACTTGGGCCACCATGCAGGGGAAGGCTACGACTGTACACGAGTAAGGCTGATATGGCTGAGTGTGTGTCCCTCACATGCCCACATCCTGATGCTCAAACACTGCTGTCCGTGCTGATATGTCCTCCCCATGAATTAATTTCTCCTAACCGGATAACTAATTATTTTACTCCTTTTAAGAAAAAAATGACATGATAGTGACAATAAGTCACAGTATATGTAATGTTTTATCTTTTTTATTTCACCACTGAGTACCAAAACCATTTTCAAAAAATTCCTTCACCAACATTTTTTCGTTTTGTGAGCATTGTTTTCTCATAGTTCCCTCACATTTTTTAAATGCTTTTATGAATGTCCTTGTCACAATCATAATCATTCATTAACTCATCTTGTCCTTCTTACTGTATCTTAAGCACCCCTTCTGGCATCACAACAAATAGTGATTGAAGTCAGAATGCTGCATACTACATCCTCATCTGCACAATTTTGATTGAGAATCTCAAGGATCTATTCTCGGACCCCTTCCATTTATTGGCTATTTGTTCCTAAAAGACTCAATATATCTGAAAAAATAAATTTTCAAAAGAAAACACTAAAGCTCTGAACATGTACTACTGCCAAGTTGACACTTCATTGATTGCTAAGAGAATTATAGTACTTTGCCTCAAATCGCATTTCATGAATTTAACAGAAAAAAAACGTAATTTCAAACAAGGGTGGTGCAAATGGTGGTCCACTTCCATTCACTTGACGTTGATGTTCTTACTTAACAGTAAAAGACCTCTGATTCATTCAGTGTTATACCTGTTCCTTGTGGAATATATATAGATAAGAGTGTCCACTGTTTCCACACAAATACAACAGTATGTGTGTGTATATATATATATATATATATATATATATATATATATATTTTTTTTTTTTTTTTTTTTCAAAATATTCCATCCCTTATATGCACCAACACTTGAGGGATTATTTTCTGTCACCATACTTGAAGTACCTATTTTATACTCTTGTTCATTTTGAATGTATTTAAGCCCTGTAACAGTAAACAGCTGGCCGAAGTATCAGCAATTATCAGGCTGATCGTGACTTGTCACCACCTTCAATCGAATCCTGAGCAGCTACAAAATGCCCAAGAAGTCACAGTATTTATTTGCCATTTTAAAGAAACACAAGGACAACCTTCCTTGTGTTTAGAGCCTTGGATGCTAGTTTTGCCACAGCATGCCGATGGGCTGCTGTCTGCTCCATGGTCACTCCTTGAATCTTAATGACCCGATTTAACTGTGCACATATTGCCAAGAAACCTGTGTTTCTGTGCGGACACAGAAAAAAGGGTTCTCAAAAACAGAGGTTTTAAGAAAACAGATTGACTGACATGGGCATAACCCCAAACCTCTATCAAGGTAACCCCATTAAAGCCACTCTCAGAGCCTGGGAAAGTTAGGGGGAGGGAGTAAGCTGCCAACAAGGGGGGGAAATCATTACCGTCTATTTTTATTCTTAATGTAGAGGAAGCTATAGTGATGACTGAGCACAAGATTACAGTAAAAGATTCAAGTTCAGCATCACAGGAACACTTACAGGCAGATAAACACCTGTGTTACTGCTTTAAACTTCTTTTCTTAAATGTTTCCCTTTTTCTTCTGAGTCACCTTTCATAACAGACAGCTGTATTACAAATCCCCCCACGCCTGGTTAATCTGTTTTAATCACACAATATGACATAGCCTCAGCTTCTGCTGTATTTCTTCTTATAGTCTTCTAACATTATTGAACTCAATTCAGCCGTCCAACACTCTTGACACATGATTTTAACTTTTATCATTTATCAATTTTGTACCATTAAGTATATCATTATATAATATTAGTCTATTAGTCATTTTTACATGGTTTATTATTCCCCTTGTACATACAGAATATTACAGGAAAGGCTACAACCAGCACCAATAGTTTAACTTCTAGTTGTAATGTTGATTTGTCTTACTTTTTTGTAATTCTCTGTTTGTTTAAAGGCGGTTTTTCACATATGAATCAAAATAGTGTCTACAATGCAGGTTGTTTGCATTTCTACAAAAGCATATGTGTCACAGTTTGTCATACCTAGAGACTTCCAATGTGTCTCTTTCAGACCTTGTTTGTGTTAACACGTCTTAATAAAAGTCAGAATCTTTTGTGATTGCCGTAGCATAACTCAACATCTGAGAGGGCAGGCAGCAATAATGGTTTATAATACAAATTGTTTGGTTGCAGCTGTGGTAACATGAGGGGTGGGGAAAACCCGGCAGTCCAGACTGTCTGTTGTATTAGCTCAGAGGTTTGCAAATATCAGCTAAACCTCTCAAATTAACAGCGCTTAGATTTTAGAAAAATAATGGCTCAATGTTGGTAAAACCTGTCAAATGTATATGCTGGGTATAGCACGTTTTTGGTAGATGGAAGTTTCTTAATTCAGTTCATATTAAAATAGCCACACAATACAGATGTTACAACTCAAACTAGAATATATTAATTACAAAAAATATTAAGATCAGAGGACTGGGGAGTATGTAAATCCATTAGAACATCAGAGGTATCAATCCGTCTGCTAGATACATAAAATACAAATGTATAGCGCTTAAAATACTTTACAGAGCCACATTATAAAAGGAAAACAACATACTATACCAAAGACTGGCTAGAAGAACAAGAGACAACAGAAGAATAAAAAAGTCACTTCATGGGGTGCTGGTGGTGCAGTGGTTAGTGCGCACGCCATGTATGGAGGCTACAGTCTTCCAAGTGGGTGGTCCAGGTTCAAATCCAGCCTGTGGATCCTTTCCCACATGTCATTCCCTGATTTCGGACTCTATCCTCTGTCCTATTGCTCCATTAAAGGCACAAAAAGCCCCAAAAAAAAAAGAAAAAAAAAGTGACTTCATGATGGTATTAAAGTAGCTGTACGCCTCAGAGATTTAAAGTAGGAATGTAAGTAATACAAAATACAATTGAAAATGATTCTCAGTCTGTAATCCTAAAATCTTTCTTGCTTTCTTCACTCTCTTATCCATTTTGGTCCCTTCAGTGTTGTATTGAGAGAAATCTAAACCTGGCTGAGGCGTGTATTTCAGCTGTGTGAGAAGGCCTTTATGTAGATTTTATCCCCATGTCGAGCTCAGTGCAACAGAATAAATGTGTAAAGCGCACACTGGGAAGTGCAATCAGACAAGATAAAGCACCAGTGGGAGACGCCAGACAGCAGCACTATTTAATACTGTAGATTTTGATTCATGTTCATACATCTTGATGTTTCAGTCCAATTTTTATCTGTTTCCCCCCATTTCATCTCGCCCATCTCTTGCAGTTGCTTGTCCCTCACTCTTCCCTCCTCTCGCTTTTCCCATCAAATATTCTGCTCACGCACAACTGCGGCACCCTTTCTCCAGTCCTCCCCATTAATCCACACCACAGACATCTTGGCCCACTGTCTCGTCTCTCTCTCAACGTGCACTCAAGGCTCTCAAAGTCTGGGCCGTTTCAGCAGAGTGCCTGAGCATTTTTCAAAGGCCATGAGGCCCACTGCTGAACATGCTTTTTACTGTACAGACAGACTAGTATATCATGTCTCCCTCCCACTTTAAATACCACTGATTAGAAGACAGCATCCCATTCAAAGCAGAGGTCATATCAGGATAAGCAGCACTCCAGTCCTTACTCACACAGTATAAAACCTCTATGTTCAGCCATGCCTAACATTTACTTTCACTACAGCAGGAAAAACATCACAAAACAAACGGATGGCCTGCTTCAGCCGGCTCCGACCAGCCTGAGATATGTGGCTGGCTCTTCCCTGTTTGAGCTAGTTTCTAAAGGCATTGAAGACGCTGGCCC